AAACAGCTCCAAGTGAATTTATTATGAACTATCTTTCAATATCTCTTATCTCTCATATTGAGCACATTATTTTTATATCAGTCAAATGGGTTTTAACAAGAAACATTAATCTAACGTTTTTACTGTGTGTATTTCTCGATCACTCTCGATCGCGTCATCACCGCTCACCAAAAGGATAATCAAACTTTAAAATTACAAGAGCTAAACCATTCCCTTTATTGATGTTTCTTGTCTCTAAGTTCTAATGTGTTATTAATAAGATGTTTGACAATTTTCAAATCATTTGAGTTTCCACAGAATCAATATAACGGAAAAGCTATTGTGTCGAATCAATGAAAGTCTATATTGGTATATTTTGTGTGAAGTATGTGTTCATTATTTTTGTAATCGCTCATCTCGAAGTTATTGTGATTTGTCTTATCTCATTTGTATATCATCTCTGTAATTTATTTTAGGAGAACAACTACACGAACAATAGACAGTTCTAGGATTAATTTAATCACCATGCATTATTTTATTAATTAGATCACGTTTATTTAAGTCATTGCGTAAATTGAATGTATTGACTTTGTTTATATTTTGATGAGTGATAACTAAACGTGAAACAACCTTAAGGTACACCATTGCACAAATAATACTTTTCAAACATCAGATCATTTGCGTGTGAAATGATGTTTAGATTAAGAGCGAATTAAATAAAAAAGCTCTTGATTCATGCTTCAAACTACTTTAGAAATATTCAAAACGACAGTAAACATTGGGACCATTAATGTACCACAAGACCGTCAGTTGACATTATTTTTTTAGGTAAAATAACTCATTTTTTCTACTTGACAAATTTATACTGTAAATAATAGTAAGCACATCACTGGAATGCATATTATGTACTGCATCCCTATCTATAGAAAACATTATCTCAGAAGAAACCTTTAAAGAACATTTAGTACAACATATGATTAGCGAAATAATCCAAAATAAAAAGTGATACATTTTTTTCTAAATTACTCAACGCTAAAAACTTGTTTAATAATCGATTGATAAAGACTATCGTCATAAGTTGTGTCTTCAATTCACAGTCAATCCATTAGGTGTGGAGTTCACGATAACCAATAGATGAATAAACAAGAAATCTATCATAATTTTATAAGTTGAAAAAGTAAAGTATATTAAACTAAATATTCAATAAAATTGATTCCTACATAAATAGATGGTCAACCAAAGTGAAACTATATTCTATACAACTAATTCAGGTAAGTAAATTCGTTGTATTGATCACCATGAGGATATCATTAAACTTCGTTCATATTTAGTAACACCAATCTTTAAAGATTACTAGTGTTCCTGAAATATAGCCTTCAATTAAAGATATATATACCCATATAAATAAAATTTACTATTTTGTCATGTTTACAATAAACAAACTAATACAAGTTAACATTGAATATAAATTTATTCAAATAAAAAAAAGTTATCTGAGTAAACATTCTCATGAAAAGTCAACATTCCTGTTTTAGTATGCACAGTTGTTATTTAGTTTCATATGAAAATGTCAATAAAATTGTTTTTCTATCACATGCCCTGGGTTAAACTCAATGAAAAATTGTTCTTCTTTTCTTTCTTTCTTTTTTTTTGTTGTTGAATAAAAGCTTATAATTTTTTAAAACCTATGATTGACATAAACAATATTGTTGTTCCTTTCGAATTCAATTTCATGTTATACAAACAATGCATTATGTACACATTGTATTTAATAAAAGAATATTTTACTAAATGTTGAACTTATGAGAGAAAAAAAAGAAATATTTTCGCACATTTGAAATGAATGGAAAACATATTTTAAAAGAGAACTCTATTCTAAGTTATATATATCCTTAAGTATTTGTGTTTTCTAAGAGAAAGTTAAATAAGATTAGTTACTAAGCCTATCTTTAAAATGTAAGATATAAGTTAGAAAGTGATTGATTATTAAAAATAGTTTAGCAGAACAAAATTGATAAGCATATATTTCACTATATTTAAAGATAATCTAGAAAAGTATACATAATTAATTCTGAAATTTGATTGATCAACAGGCTAGGTTGGAGGTTTATTCTTTTTATGACATTCAATGCTAAGGGTTGTCTAATGTTCTTTGATGAGGTTCATGATAGATTAATATCATTTATAGTATAATTTCAAACCTATAGAGAAATATGTATTGAGAAGGAAAAGAGAAACCAACAGTAAATAATACTAACTGTAATTATCTCTTTTATAGACAAATAGAGTTAAATTAATATAAGTATCATTATCAAGGTTTGATTTGATAATTTTGAATAAATTGTTGTAACGAGTGGACTGCAGGTTAGATACGCAGCGTTTATATTGATCAATTCAGTGACACGTTAACACGTAGTGAACGACCTAGAGCCCTGACTTGTCCCGCTCTCCTGTCTAGCTCAGCCAGTTGAGTCTAGAACGCAAGTCACAGCCTCTGAGTTATGAATCATTATATTTCAGCCATACTCTATTTATATACCAACCAAACAAACCACATCGTACCATAAAATAGAAAACAACATTTACACAATATTTAACGAGTGAAATAAATAACGGCCAATAGGAAATGTTCATTTAACGTCCAAGGACATCATTAGACTTAACATGATAATGATTGGCATATTATTCCTCAGCATCCATAACATAAATTGAGCATTGGGTAGATTGTTATAAATAAATAGTATATTTGTAATACCCCAATGAGTTCCGTTGTTCCTATGTACTTACACTAAGCCACGAAACGTCAGAAAATCTAATTTTTCTACTCATTGGGATATTACAAATATACTATTTATTTAAGTTAATATAGTTTAAAAAGAAACATATTTTGTTTCACTTCTTATCAATGAGATAGTTAGAATTCTTTTCTCAAAGATGCTTTTGATTAGTTTTAATTTATGGGCTAAATCTTATTTCATAATATGATATGATAAACCCTATTCCTTAGTGAATTGTTCATTGAAAATCTGTTTTTTATTTACCCATATACATTTTTCAATCTTTAAAAATCTTTTTATAAAATGAGACACAACTTGATAATCAACAGTTGTTGACATGAAATTCTTTCATGAAGATGTTATCCATAATGTTGATTGTAATCATAATGCAGTTAACATTTTTCCTAACCCCATGAAGCTTGAATTCAATGCACCTAACAGACATTAATTGATAACTAATACCATTCAATTAATTTAATTCACTAAAGACATTGTATGAAATGCTTTTAAGTTTACACAACTAATGTGTAATAATAGTTGCTATTTAAGTTCATATGAATTCTTATTTCATTTGTGTGCATTTCATTTTTTTTTTTAATTTTTGATGTAAATTATTCTTTACTTAACTATTGTTTTACATTATTCTATTTTATTTGTCAAACAACCAAGTGTATGGTAATAATTTTCATTTAATTGATTGACATTATGGAAATTTATGAAATGTTTACACCCTATATCATGCGTACACAATATAGTACATCACTAACTCAAACATCCCTAAGAATTCCTCCCTAGATGATTCTATTACAATTAACTTTTGAAATGTCATCAAAGATTAAAATAGACGCCCTAATTTTGGTGATGCCTTTTTTTAGTTTGAAGCGCTAGATCACAGTAACTATAAACATTACATAGATCTGTTTTTTCCTCACACATTATATAATTAAATGTAAAATTAGGTTGGATTAAGTTAGTCTTAACATAAGTTGAATGAATAAACTCTAAGCTATTGTTCTTTTGTTAATAAACCAAATTAAAGTGTTTAATACATTCATTAATTGAATTTCTAAAACGTTGAGGTCATTAATTCATGTAGTAATTACGTTCAAATACAACGTAAGATGAAATTGTCATAAATTCATGTATATTGATGAAGTAAATTTTGAGTAATATGATATTGTAACATACGTAGTTAATGTAAAACAACACACTTGTTCTACGAAATTGGGGGTTTGATTATTGATAGCAAATAGTGGGATATCTCGTACAATAGCTTTCAAATTTCATCAGTAGACAAAGACAGAATAGATTAATGGCCTATAAGAAGCTCATATTGTCAGTAACAAACTGCTTTATCATTTTAAAATCAAATATAATAATACCGATAATGTATATAATGCATGATCTCAAAGATTAGTTTCGATCATTACTTACATCTGCTATCTCTCGCGTAGCGCATACCACCGAACAGGATTCTCCAACCTATTCTGTCCTAGGCTCAACTTTCCATCTGTTTTCAAGTGCTACTCATTCTTTTGATTTTTTGCCTACGATTCCTAAGGCAACATGTCTTATAGTCTGCTCCTGTTTTCTTCAGAGGATCCCAAGTTAGTTTTCCAAGTTTCAGCTCCATACAGTAGATATGTCTTGATGTTGGTTGACAGTTGTTTTGAGTTCCACATGGTTTCAATTGAAGAGATGCGGCGTCTGTTTTTTCTTAACTGTGCTTTTACATTTACACCGGATTCTCCTTGTTGGTCGACGATGCTGCCTACGTACATGAACGTTTCCACCTCTTCCAGAGTTTTTATATTAAGTGTGACTGAGTTGGTGTTTTCTGTGTTGTATTTGAGGATGCTGCTTTTAACCTTGTTTATACTGAGGCCTACTGCTGCAGAGGCTGCTGCTACACTGTCAGTCTTGATCTGCATATGTTGTGGTATATTTAATAGAAGAGGTAGGTCGTCTGAAAAGTCCAGATCGTCAAGCCACCTTCAAGCTATTCACTGTGTTCCGTGTTTCCCCTGATATGTGGTGGTCTCCATAATCCAATCGACCTCCTGAAGCAATAGAATGGGTAGGAGTAAGCAGCCTTGTGTGACATGGGTTCTCACTTGAAATGCATCTAAGTTTTAATAAAAATAAACTAAAATTTGGTTCTTTATCTTAAAGTAACATTCAGATAATTTATGACACAAAATAATAAAACTGACGATTTCTGTTGGTTACTTAATTATTTTGTAGGTGAACGTTCACTGCAAACATGGAGTCAATATCAGTTAAAATTGAGCTTGATTTTCAAAGTTAACTAGCATCCACAAAAAAAATCAATCAATATTGAACAACATGAGAGTAAGGGAAAGATTTCAACAAGATTCATTCAAATTAAATTACAATTCTAAAACGATCAGTTTCACCAATTCACAATGGCTACAACAATTATTATCCATTGCAGTACGTTTAAATAATGCTACAAATAATCACGAAAACATATCACCTTCAGATAAAACTACCATTATTCATAACAATATTCATAGTAGTATTGACAATGGAACAGTACCAACCACTACTGGTTGTATTATATTAGAATTATATGATAAAAATCCTATATTTCTTTATGATCAAGAAGATTTTCATGATATTGATTATTCTGTATTAAAAATGCAAATTATTGTTTGGACACAAAAATATATAAAACCAGATGATTTATTTATGGATTGGTTTGAAACAGTCAATCGACAAATTCATTACAATAAAAAAGGTTATAACAAAAAAGAGAATTCAATAAATCGTGATCATGAATTATCAATTACTAATGTGACATATTGTACTGAAAATTTAAGAAGTTTAATGATTGATCATAATCATAATAACCATATATTTGATGGATTAAATAATGATGATTTAAATCATAATATGCAAAATGCCAAGAATGAAACAAAGTCTGGTAAGTTGTAAACAGAAGAAAATAGTAAGATTAGATGGTGGTTGTAGGTAGTCGACAGGAAACCCTGGACCCGGGTTTCGTGCTACTTGGTACTCGTCAGCAAGGTGTACCTGGCGGACTCGATCCCGTATCACCCAGCTTCACAGTCGGAGACGTTACCACTGAGCTATCCGGGCTGCGATTGACCTCCTGACCTTCTGTTCTAGCTTACAGCGCCTATATTTAAAATGTCTGTGTTTTTTTTATGCTTATAGAACAAGAAAGTTTATCTTAACTACGGATTCATGAAAAAATTTTTATAACCAGGTATTAATAAAAACTAGTCAAAATATTAGTTTAAATGGTAGACAAGCTATGTATTATCAGTAAGTTAAAAGAACAGTAGTTATACATGGAAACTTGGCATCATTTTTGTAATACATCTTCGACATTTTAAACCCAAATAGATTTTTTACAATCATTCTAATATACTGTGCTGGAACTGCACCTGTATGAGACGTTCAATTTGAAAATATATACTGTGATCTCAAGTGGAATGTTTTAATCTTATAACAAAAGTAGAATATCGAAACACAACTTATTATCAACGAAACGTGGATATCGTTTTTGCTTCATAGGGTGCTGAGAGTAGAAGTGAAAATTTCTATCGTTACTCTTAACTTTTCCATAATCTATCGGTTAGTGGTATTAGTATACGGTGAAAACTATTTATAAAAACATGTAAAATATTACTCATAGAATACAACAGTTTTTTTTCCGATTCCAAAAAGAAACATACATCACAAGAAGAAAATATTAATCAATTCGACAAACAATTTAGACAATTAAACTATTACACTAATAGCTTTTTCTCTCAAAGTCTATAAACAACTCACTTGTATAGAAGAAAACAAATACGATAACAATATATGAATAAAATTAAAGTTACTTCACTGATTAGCCTTTAGATGTAGTATAACTTTCACGATATTCTAATCAGAAGCATTGGCACATAGAAGTAAAATGATACCTTACACATAATATAAAGTAACGATTTTTTTTTAAAATCACGAATTGTTTCAAGCTGTAATACTTAGGAAGCTTGAATTTCATCTTGCTAAATTAGTAATATCTTTCTCTTCATTAGATTTGGAAGTCGTGTGTGACGTCATGTTTGTAGACTTGTAAAAGGACTCTTGGACAAAAGTGCTTAGGACTGCCTGGTATTAGTGGTCTTCTGGTTTAATTGAATTCCTGATGTAATCTATTTTCATTGAATTTCATAGACATTGTTTTAATTTTTTTTTTTAAAAACAATTAAATCAAAAATAATAATAATGTCAAAATTATATCTAATAGCTATAACTACATTTTATATATTTCTGTAAATGAACCCTAATGTTTTTACATCCTGTTTTTTGACCTCATAGATAAATATGGTGGAAATGAAGTGCAAATTTTAACCGTGATTACTCTTTGTTCTGTGCTCATTATTTGCTTTCTGATGGCTGTTATTTTACGTATTAGGTAAGTAAAGTATTCTACATAGACAAATAAAGATAGCTTTGTTTATTGTTTTATCAAGTACTTGGTTAAGACATTCGTACTGCGATAAAAATAGGTCATAATTTTGTCGATTGGATTGGTTTCAGTTTGAATTGTTGTACTTAGAAGTCGATTATTTCTTACAAGTTTACATATTAGGGAAAGTTTTACTTAAGTTGCTGACAATCTTAGAGGTTTAATCAATAAAAACATTATATACTTTACTAATAACGGAACTGTTCTCTCTTCGTAGACCATGATGAGAATATTACTATCAAATTCTTTTTGATAAGAAATATTATTTAATGCAAAGATTTTAAAAATATCAATTTAATGTAATCTGCCAGTTCTATTTGCCGTTTAACTTATATTCAATTAAGAGATGATTAATTGTTTGATGTGAGAAACAAATAATTAAAAGCTCAGACATCAGTAAGCTAAGAAGTTGCAACAGCTTATATATTGGCCATACATTCCATGGCATGACTAATCAAGAGCTCGAAAATAATTAATATAATACTTATATTCAGAATTTGTTAAATTTCAACAGGACAGCCTTAACTAAAAGATATTACCTTCAAGCTTATTAGATATATTCCGTTCTTTTTTAAAAAAACTAGTCAAAATTCATTTTATCACCACAGAAACATTCATAAAATAAAAGTATTTGTTCACTTTGGTTTAGTTTTAGTGTCGAAGAAAGCGATTTCCAACCAATTACACGCTTAGAGGTTCAATTCACTTGGTGTCGTTTTGCTTGTATCTTCCCAGTTATTTAGGATTGCAAATGATCAGTCTCTTATTGGCATATGTGCATCCTGTATGGATTGCCTCAATATAGCCTTAAGTTACAAGCTCTTGAACAAAAGATGTATAGTGGCTAGCATTGGAATCGAGGACGCGCGATGGCGTTTGAAGCGAACTGTACTGGATTCGAGTCCCAGAGTGAACATCAACTCAATGATGCATGTACATCCAGCTGACGAATCCTAAATAGGACAAAACGCTCATCCTGTACTGCGCTTCTAGCCACTATACATCTTTGCTTAAAAGGATCAACTCTAAATTTTCAAAAAAGACGATGTTTTCGTTTTGACACATCTTAAGAATATTGTATAAACGAGCTGTGAGCTTTCATTGAATTCTCATTCATTCTTATTTAATTTTATTGTACTGGTTTAGATATTTGTAAGACTATCTTTAATGGCAATTGTTATACTTCCAGAAAAATTATGGTGACAAAAATCCATGATGAACGTTTTTTTTTAAAATTTTTTCATTTTCTTTTGACATATAGAAGCTTTTGTAAACGTCAAACAGAATCAAGAAAACAAATGCGTAACGATCGTGATTCAGCGTTACAAATCAATTTTCCATATGATGTTAATGAAATACAAGTTGCAGATAAACTACCTGTACCGAGTACAACATATGGCAGTAATACACATCCTGGACTAACTAAAAAAAGAATTGGTATTTACAGATATAATCGTATACCACAACCACAATATAATTCAATGCAAAATTATAACAGAGTATTTAATGCTCAAACATATCAACCATCAACTGTTTTTCTGATCGACTGTCAAGACACCGATCATTTTAAAGAATCGCATAATAAATGGCTAACAAATCATGTGAGTGAAAAATATAAAAATAGTTGTTTTTTGGAATAATTTTCGGTTTGTGAGGTTCTGTTTTTTCTATGAATTCTTGTTAGTGTGTGACCTGCTTGAGCACCTGGGCTACCTGTTCCTGCCATCTAGATATTTCTTCAAGTTATCCATTTTTATTTGTTTTAATATATCAATATGTTTATTAATCACATGATGTATTCTGCTGCGTTTCTGAAAAGTGTACAACCTTTCGTTGTCAAAGTTACAAAAAACTCAATAAGAGCCAATGTGGTTGCTGGCACTATACAGCGAAAAGAATGCACATTATTCAGATGGTCATTTACTGAACTGCTAACATCTAACTGGCGATCACTCAATATTTATCGCCAAGACCAACCAGGAAGAAAAAAACGGAAACTTGCTGAAATACTTTACGCTGAGAATTCTATATTGTACCAAAAATATAATATTGAATAAAGCTGATGATAATAATAATAATTATTATTATTATTAAGAAAGAATTTTCCCCATCTGTACGTATACAGTTTAAGTTTAGTGTGTTCGTGCTTTGAATGATAGAAAATAATTACATTTGAGTCTTCAATACTTCTACATATATTTCCTCAGTCTCCTCATTCAATCTATCATAAATATTATATTTTCTGTATTAATTAGTTCATTATTATGTCAGAAATTGTGTGGTACCTCTAAAGCAAGAATAGTATCTCGTTGTTTAGGTTTCACAATATTAAATTTATATTTATAGGGTTTGTTACGATACTATAAAATATGATAGTTGTATGACTAATAAACAGAGATAATATTTCTGGAACGGTTATCATACTAATGCCAACTTTTGGTTTTCATTAGTTTTCAGTATACTCATTGACTTTGATAACTGTATTGACGAAATTATGTTTTCTCATTATGTTATTTATGAATTTAACGATATGCATGTTCAAAAGTGATGGAACAGTATGTTTAGGTTTAAAATATTTAAACTGATCAGTGGTAATTTAGAATCTATGAGAAATTTCATGTATTATTTCGTGTAATTCAGTCAATATTCAGCTAGTCTTAAGCGAATGACGGAATTATGAAACATTCCCAAGGATGAAATATTACGAAGAAATAAAATGTAAAGAAATTGACTAACAGTAGTATCTTTGAAAATGAAAAACCTGAACAGATGAATACAAACACAACTAGATAATATTCTTATGCTCAGTGGTGAGTAACTCTAAGGTAGCTTTCATAAATTTAGAGCGAAAATTCTGTTTTCCACTGAATTAGGTCATTAGCAGGGAAATTACTTACCTTGATGGTGTGATAATGTAATGCAGCGTATAAACTACAAATTCTATGTGCTAGACGCTATTCAAGATTATAAGCATGGACCTGTAAGAAGTGGTGAAATTAGAACGAAGAAGTTGAGAAGTGTTTTTTGGCCTTTACCAGCAATATCAGTCGGTGGTGAAAACGATTGTTAAACCGGATATATTTCTGCAAACGCATTAAATGAAAATATAAGTGGGTGATATAAATAAGTTTGACTATATACTAAATATTGTGTAAACTTAACATTTACGTTTCGATAAATTGTTGTGCAAATATTGTCACTAAAAGGTTGAAATGATCTGAAACATGTAACTAGATCTTCGTTGAACTTTTGTATTGCCTGATTGTTGTGTTGATAGCTAAGCAAAATAGTACAGACAATGTGTATATTGAGATAATGGGTTGGATCTCATCTGGATATTGATTAGGTTAAACAGTGATAACCTTGAAGCAACTGAACGCGTTGACGAAAGGAACTGGAAATACTGATAATTATATAAAATCCACCTCTAGCCACCGAACAACAGAGAATGATAGACGTCATGCCCCATTATTCAACCTAGTGACAAACTTGTTCGATTATCAATACTAGGTTACTAGACAAACAATGATCGTGATATTAATTACACACAGTGGTTTATAGGTGGACACATTTCTTCATTTTTTAGTTGTCTTGTTACTGATATAAAAAATTATTGAAATCAGAGATCTTGGTAACCATTCACACTTCATCCTCTTCAATTCGAGTGTTTAGTTAATGATGCCTTGATTGTGATACTGATGAACCATGTAGTCAATATTCTGGTCAAAACTTACGAAACCGGCAGTCTAACACTATAAAATTTTTATATAGAATTTAAAATTAATACAAATATATACACTTGTACACTTTTGAAAATGAACTTGATGAAAGGTATTCTTTAACTGATCCATACATTTTATAATTAAACAGGATGCCTTTAAATTGATAAAATTCATTTATAAAATAATTGATATAGATAGAAAGTTTAATGCTGTTCTAAAATCCATAATATGCCAACAAGAGACTGATGAATTGCAGTCTTAAATAAGAATGAGAAGATACAAGTAAAACAACACCAAGTGAATTTAAACATCACTCGATTTCACAAGCAGGTGGCTATCAAGAATCTGTAGCTAAGTGGATAACTCGATGGCGTTTGAAACGAATGGTACTTGGTTTGAGCCCCGGAGTAAACATTAACTCTGCGATGCAGGTACATTCAACTGAAGAGTCCCAAATAAAAATATTTTATTAAAACTATTAACCAAGTAGAAATCAACAGTAATTTTTAATAAGAAAGGGTGGTAGTTTGAGGACCATTAGAAACTAGTGAAAATTGAATAAGTAATATTCTCTGCTCATATTTTTCCAGCAGTGAGCAAATGAAACTGTTGGCTGAGACAAACGGTTTACGTCAGCTACTTCCTGGCATTTCATTATAAAATAGTATATGATGGAAATAATTATTTGTGTTGTTGAAAATAGATTTGATATAAAGAAAGAAAAAGTCATTTGCTTTTGTTTACTAGGATGTTTTCATCGATCTTTAGGACTTCAATTGATCAGTTTGTTATTGGCATATGTGGGTACTGTGTGTATTGCCTTGCTATTACCTTAATTCACAAACATTCTAAGAAAAGATGGATAGTGGATGACAGTGGAATCCAGAACACGCGTTTCATTCTATTTGTGAACAAAGGTAATATCGAGGCAATACGCACAGTATGCACATATGCCAATAACAGACTGATCAATAGCAGTCTTAAACACCAAAGGGAAGATTCAAACAAATAATACCAAGTGAATTTAAACTTCACTGCATCGCAAAAGTAAGTGGCTATCAGGACTCAGCAACTGAGTGGATAATGCGCTGGTGTTTGAAATGAACGATATTGAGTTCACGTTGCAGAGTGATCATCAACACTATGATGCATGTACTTTGAGTTGTCGAGTCCTAAATAGGACGGAATGCATGTCTTGTATTCCACTGCTAACCGCTATACATCTTTGCATAGTACAAAGAAAAAGATTATGAAAGAGAATTTTAATTCAGATAAATGATTTTGATGAAATAAACAATACCTTATCATTGGTTGAAATCATGAGTCAATGAAAGCTAGACCACCATGGAAAACTTGGAAGCACTGGACGGCTAGTTAAGCGCCTGGCGCAAGACTGATTGGTCATGGGTTTGAATCTCGCGGGGGGGGATCGTGGATGCGCACTGCTGAGGAATCACATACTAGGACGAAACGGCCGTCTAGTGCTTCTATGCTTTCCATAGTGATCTAGCTTCAACTGACTCATGATTTCAACCAGTGAAATTTCTAAAAAAAGTCTCCACAAAACACATTCTGAATACCATATCATATTTAAAATTTATACATTTTATAAAATTAACTCATTACAAATTTGATAACTTTAATAAATCTACATTTTATATATATTTTTTATACTTTTAATCAATAACAGGAATTTCATCGTCAATATTTATTACATTCTAGAAAATCTGAAAATTTCATTGATCCATTTCAAATTCAAATTTCAAATTTCAAATCTCATTTAAAATCTTTTAAAAATTTAAATCAAAATCAAACAAACAAACAAGTTTATCATTTGAATAAATCAATTCAACGAACTAATAGTGTTTAATAATATTTTTTATAATATTTTAAATCATTATTTCAATGTTTTATTCATATACTACTTATATTTATATAAAAAGCAATATATTCAGTCTAAAAGTTAATGTTTAATAAGATGATTGAATGATTGATTGATTAGATAATATCATCATAAATCTATAATTAATTAGATAATTTAATCAAAGTAATACAAACTATAAAGAATATAATTAGTTTATAGAATATAAAGTATAAGCTTATGAATAAATATATTTTGATTATTTAGGTTGAAATTATTTTATTCTGTAAAAAGTTTCTGTTACTATAACTACATATTATATATTTTGAATATACTGTTTTAAACAATATATAGTCTTGTAGCTCGAATGTCCAGGTCATGGGCAAGTATAATCTATATGTATACTGCTTTCAAATAAGTTTTCACTGATACTTCTCTTGGCATACGTGTAGGTATACTTAACTCGTGAGGAAACATACGTTACATGCATATCGGTAACATATATGTATCATGTATTGTATAGTATACATTAGAATTTATTCACCCATCTTCGAGGGTAGATGGTCAACGCTCCTTTTGGACTTATTTGCTATAGCTGACTGTCATTTATGCATAACATGCATATTATTGATATAAAGGCTTCCACCCATGCACTTCATTATATACGCATAAGTATAAGCAGTCTTTCAGGAATGGTTTGATAGTTATCTTCCCCTAGTATTTGCTACCATATTTTTTAATATATCTTCGACCTAAAGAATTAGGCTGATGATTTTAGTAGACATAGGAAAGACATTTTTGAGCTTACTTTCCTTGTGCTAACCCATGCGTGTACCCTTTGCATATACCTACAGACGTAAACCATACAAACCGAAACTCATGCAACTCGTATATATGGACATACATATTGAGCAGCTCGCAAGGCTCTTAGAGCCCCGAAGAAAGGAACCCAGTTAATCAGGTTTATAGCAGATTCGTTGATTAGATCGATATCCGCTATCGCTCTAGTTAACTAACAAGGTTTCTTTCACTACCCATCAGCACCGCAGGGATGCCTTAGATCTGATTTTGCTGCCATCGTGAAGTAACGTTTATAATCCCAACAGACTTGAAATTGTAAATCATAATTCGATTGTCAGAATTATTCACATGATAAAAATAATTAAATCGGGTTGCATTTCTTTTTTGAGATAATGTCCTATCACACCATAGAGTCCATTAACGTAACATGGATCCTTACCAAAGTATCTAAATTATTACTCTAATAAATGTACTGTCTGACTTAAGTACATTTAATAACCTGATTGTTGTCAAAGTTAAGATGGGTACCAATTTTGTTGGAGAACTCGAATCAACAAATAAACTGAAATCCTCTTAACTTAGCTGCGAGATTCAGCTACTCACTAAGTTTACAGCACATTTTTATTCAATTCTGTTAATGATTACGTTAGCTATACACTTAACTTATCAGTTTGGTTTCTACATGTACGATAGTTCAAGTGCAGTTTTTGAATTGAACGGGTGTGTTCCGTTGGAAGAAGACAACATCAGGTTTCCTTGGGTTGAACTGTATTGGATCTCGTACGATCAGATCGTAATGACAGAACATCAGTTGAATGACCTCTTTCTAGTTCGATTAATGACTATTTCGCCTACATTTACATCAGGACTTGTGACTATTCAATTTACCAATTAACACACTAGCCGATAAACAACAACCAGGACGTTAATGCTTAACGGTCATCGAGCTCCTAACCTAGTGGCCAATCAGAAAATGAAGGTAGAAAATGCATAAGTTTTCTGTTGTACTCAATCCAACAATCACTTAAAACTCATACAATAATGTATATTAAAATCCTAACCACACAAGAAAACGATTAAGAAATTCAATAATGGCATAATTGCGTCATAATTTGAAAAAAAATGGGTAATAAGTCCTTAATAAATTAACAGTAACTTAAATAAGGTACAACATATGGCAACAGTTTATGCATCACGAGAAAGCTTAAAAGCAGGAAAATACAAATTATGATAATTATGGAATTAAATAATTAAAGAACATTAATAGACAGAATAACTTTAAGTAAGACAGTATCGAAAATTCAACTTTCCTATACTCGTCATAACATCCACCGCCCTCTTTTTGGAAGAACTGTAGGAAGGTGTTAAAATGGTCTTCTTTGTACTCACCTAACTGCAAACTAGTTAAAATGAAGAACAACTATGATTAAATTTTGATAAAAACATTAGATAATTCCGATCTATAAATATTTCCTTGACAGAAATGTGTAGAATCTCTTAAACTCTTAGGGATTTAGACGATTTTGGCAGTTAATTGAATCCTAGAAAACAGACTCCTGAGATCGCTAAGAAAAAATTTCTGTTTAGTTGAGCTTCGTATTGCCTTTTCTAATAAGCCCAAGTTGTATCTCCTCATTTCCGTTGCCACTTGACTGGTCCGCACGGTCTCCCACATTTTCCAAAAATTCCATGTACCCATATTAATTGTTGCTCTGTCTGTTAGAAGGGGCATTGGTCTCGCTACTTCTGAAGAAATTCGGCTTCTACCATGAGGCGTCATAATGCTTCTGAAAGAGGATCCTTCAATTCAGAGGGCAGAGTTTAATTGATTCTATTTTGTTATTCTGGTTAGAGATTTTTTGCAAGGTTGTTTTCTACGGGATGAGGTTGCCGACCTCCCGCTCAATCCTGCTTCTTTACCCGGTGTTGGGACCGATAGTAGCCCTAGAAGAGCAAAGTTTGAGAACATATTGCAGACATACAAATGGAAACTTAAGTTACAACCAAACAGATCGAAGCACAATGTTCTTTTACAATTAGCATTCGATGTAGGCTTTACTATTATACATAAATATGCGTGTTTTCAAGAATAAGAAGTAAATGATATGAAGAAAATGTAATGGTATCATTTACTTACTGATAGGTATCGATTTTCATCGTAAATTTAAATATCAAAGATGTTAAAATTAGTCTTACATATAATCTATTCAAGGAAGTAGTACACGGAAACACGTACATTTCAAAGAGCCAAAACGAATCATTTTCTCATTTTCTATTACATTTAACTAGAATAATTCCATTCTTTAAAAACATGATAAATAATTTTGAGATTGGATACATTCTAAACTAAAATCAGTTAGGAAACAAGTAAAAGCACGTGTTAGTTGTTTTGTTCTACTTGGAGTCAAGTTGATAACATACAACGATGTCCTACTCTGAAAGAAATAGACATTGAAATCTCACAGAAAGCACTATGTTTAAATGACTAAACCAAGATATACTAGTCCATATTTTACAGATGCACTAAAGTTTTTACAGAGGACTGTATTTACCCAGTTTCACCGATGAGTTATTTCCCAATATTGACTTGATTTACAGGCTTTCATCACCATTCGATCGAGCTATCAGTAGTTAAGTTATGTAGTAACGGAAAATCAAAATCTCTAAAGTTGAAGTTTGAAGTGCTCATAGGTAAACGATACAAACTGTTCCTGATCAGTTCAAATTGTGATGTATAGTTACACTGTACCAAATATCAATAAGGCTTTAATAGAATTACTCCTAGTATTTTCTAGTTATCATACAATGAAGTACGCTCTGCTTACCATTTTGGCAAATAATTAATTTTGCCTCAAAGGCAAAAAACCATAAAACGTTTTAAAAAGGATTTTGAGACTAAGAGAAAATAGGCCAGAAAATGTGTGAAAATGTTGAAGATCCGCTTAGTATAATAATAATCTGAGTGTACTCAATAGCAAAATGAAAACAGTACATCTATTTGATCAATACTGATACTATTTACTTGTAATGAGAAGGCATCGTTCTATTCGTAACTGGACTAAAATAATGGAGTAATTAAATAATACAGATTAAATTTTTTTAACCCTTTTTGTTCATAAAAATACAGTATTTACACAGTATCACATAGGATACTGAATTCAGATTTGTACATCATTAGAGCCCGGTTCAATGGTCCAGAGGTTAACCCTTCGCGTGCGAGTCTCCCTGCGGTATATTTCTGGATCCGCAATAAAAGGGAGTTTTGTAGTAAAAAGAAACAGTCGTCCTGTGCTTCCAGATTTTCATTGGTTGTTTCGTGATTTCATTAATGTATATATCTGCTAAACAAAGATGTTCATAATTACTTACTTACTTGATATATTAACATAGGAAACCATAATTTCGTTTACTTCTCTAAATTTCCCACAAATTACATCAACTTACCATGCAACTAATTGTTTTTACAGTAGGTTGCTTAATTACGCATGTTATAATAAATAACAAGAAGAATATGAAGTTTCATTTGTACAAAATCTGTATGAAAATTTATGCCCATGAACAATCATTCATCATTGTAGAAGTGAAATGATTTCTGTATAAAAAACGTTGAATACAAATCTGTATAGATTATAAATATTTTACACTGGAGCCAAAACACAATACGAAATATACAAAGAAACTATTTACGTTACAGTTTCTGGATGCATATATATATATATTAAACAATATAATAATAATATTTGTCAACATATCGGAAATGAATGTCATATTAACCTGACAAAATATTCCAACTCGGTCTCATGAATAAATGGAAGATTTACAACTTGAAAACGTTAACTGTATTTAGAATCTATCCGTTAACAATATTCACAGAAGAAGAAGAAGAATGAATCCCAGATCAACACTAAGTCAAAGTTTCCTACAAAGAAACTAATATGTCATGGTGGTCTAGCTTCAAGTGACTCATGATTTCAACAAGTGAAATTTAGAAAAATCTCCACAAAACCCATTCTGATGTTATTAATCACCTGCTCACTAGTGACTGACTTCAAGAGATACTCCTGGAGTTCTAGTGAGAAGTCGTTACAAGTGGAGTTCAACCAGGTCTTTTGTGGAGGAGTCCCATACTAGGACGAAACGGACGTCCAGTGCTTCCAAGTTTTCTATGGTGGTCTAGCTTCAGTTAACTCATGATTTCAACCAGTGTGATATGTCATATGTTAAGGTGAGCAAAGATTTAAC